AATTTGGGGCAGCACACCTTGAATAAAGACTCTATCCTCTGGGAAATAAATAGGGAAGTAAGCACAAAATTTTCCTTAGAATTTAGTGCTAGAAGCTTGAAATGTAACACTGAGTGGTTACCATCAGTCCCTGTCCCCAAACCAGTGTCAAAGGATGAGGACTTTGGATATATGTTCCTGGCAGGCAGAGACCTGTAGCCCCAAATGGATATACTTTTATTCTGGCCAGGTTCTCTTGAAGCTAGCTGTTGTGATGTCAGGGTGAAAGTACATTACTACAGGAAGCAAGCTATAGCAGGTTTGGCCCTGTTCCTACTTATCTTGGTGGGCTCTAAGGTTGGGTGTAACCTAGCATTGTGGAGTTGGTGGCCATAGAACTGACTTCCTAACCAATCCTTTCTCTAATCCCAGGTAGCACAACATGGAGAGAGTTATAGTCCACTTGGAAGAAGAACGAGGTAGGCACCATTCATGGCACAGGACCCTAGGGCTGGTTCTCTCATGGCTGAGACTCATTGTCAGACAGAAATCCCACAATGCTTCACCATAGACTGGTTACTATGAATGAGTGAGGTGTCTGGGCATACCTCAGTCTAAAGAGAGGTTTGTAGGGAACAGTTACCTTTTCAGGCACTCTCCAGGCCATACTGAACAACTTGCCAACTATGAGTTTGGGACAGACTTGAGCCTGGGGCTGGCTCCCTTTACCACTGAAACAGTGACAATAAAACCAACCATGTAATCACTGCACACCTGAACTTAGGGGACTAACTAGTCCTGAAATAGTAGGAATGACTACACGCTAGGAGAAAATAGGCAGCCTACTTAGAATTTCTGGAAGGACAGCAAAAATAAAGCCAGATTGAGAAGATTGGAACACATAACCTAATCCCTCAATGCACAGATGTTGTCATATGCCAACAAGCCTCAAAAACTTTCAGAAACCATGACTTCACTTAATGGACAAAATAAGGAAATAAATGGAATTTACTCTGATTATATTAAAATAGAGACAATGTCATGTTTACACAATAGATATTATTATACATAATGTTAAATACCCCTTTGGGTTACTTCTGCCTATTACTACTAATACCACTGGAGTTTTGGGAGTTTCCAATGTAGAGAAATAGAGTGAAAATACCCAAAAATGTATCTTTTAAATCATGCAAATGTACACTGGTGTTACAAAACCTTTTTATCATGATATCAGCCTATGGAGATTATTAAATGTAATTTAAGTTTCCCTAGCAAGAGAAATTAAATACTAAAAAATGAGATGGGGGAATAAGAGTGGATGTAAAGGGTCACAAAGTACTGTAATATCTAAGATTTCTTTCACTCTCCCCATGTCAGACAGAGAATTTAAACTAACTGTTTTAAGGAAAGTCAGTGAACTTCAAGAAAACACATTTCAGTACTTCATTGGAGAAAATTAACCAAGAGATTGGAGTAATTTTAGAAAATTGAACAGAAATCCTTGCACTGAAAATTACACTAAGCCAAAATGCAGTGGAAGGCATCAATAGCAGAATAGATCAAACAGAAGAATCAGTGATCTCAAAGATAGATTATTTGAAAATATACAGTCAAAGAAGAAAAAAGAAAAAAATAAAGAGGAATGAAGAAAGGTATGGGAATAGCTTTCTTGACTTGAGAATGCCAAAGGGGTGGAAAACTTTTTTAAACAGCAGCAAAAATCTCAAACCTAAATCAGGATACAAATATCCAGGTACAGGAAGCTCAAAGTTCACCAGGGAGATTCAACTCCACCAAATCTACCCCAAGATATACTAAAATCAGACTCTTGAAGCTTAAAGACAAACAGAAGATTCCCAAAATAGAAAGAGACAAAAAGCAAATAACACATAAGCATGTTCAAATTCACCTGACACCAGACTTTCATCAAAAACCTTCCTTGCTAGGAGGGAGTGGAAGGAGATATTCACAGGGCTACAGGAATGCTATACTTTAGAAATAAATAAGAAATAAGGACATTTCCAAAAGCTGAGATAATTTATCAGCACTCATGCTACCCTACAAGAAATGCTTAAAGAAGTTAACAAACTGAATGAAAAAGAATGCTAATAAGAAAACATTGGAAAGTATGAAACTCATTAGTAATTGTAAACGTGGTGTGTAAATTATATACTATATATCTTTAATATGAAAACTAAAAACAAAATAATTAAAATAAATTCATTAATATACTAAAAATAGACAATATAAAAAGATGTAAAATGGGACATCAAAATTTCAAAATGCAAGGAGAAATCATGTGCAAGTGTATGTTTTTTAATTATCTTTCTGTTCCTTTTCCTATCTTTACAATGAAAGTTAAATCTCTACAATTTCAAAATACCTTGGTACAATGAAAAGATATTACTTATAAGCCTCATGATAACCACAAAACGAAAACATAAACACACCAAGAATAATGAAAGCAAGAAATAAAAACATAGTACTAGAAAAAAAATTCATTTACCATAAAGGAAGACTATAAGAGAGGAAGAAATTAAGAAACTATAAAAAATTAGAAAACAAGTAACAAAATGGCAGTAGTAAGACCTTACCTATCGATAATTACCTTAAATGTAAATGAATTAAATTCTTCAGTTAAAAGATATAGAATTACTGAAGGAATAAAAATAGGAAAAAAAAATAAAACAAGACCCAAAGATCCAATGGTATGTGCTGCCTTTAAAGAAAATCACTTCACCTTAAGAATGTGCAGAAACTGATAGGGAAGGATTAGAAAGAGATATTCATGTAAATAAAATCTAAAATAAAGCAGAAATAGCCATACTTTTATCAAATAAAACAGATTTTAAATCAAAAGCAATAACATGAGACAAGAAAAATCATTATATAACAATAAAATGGTCAGTTCAGCAGGAGAAAATGATAATTGTAAAAATATATGGACCTGATATCAGAGCAACTAAGTAAGAAAGGAGGTACTAATACATCTAAAGGTTCCAATACAGTAATAGTAGGGGATTTTAACACTCCACTTTCAGCAGTAAACAGATCATTGAAACAGAAAATCAACAAAGAAGCTACAGACTTAGATTGCACTTTACACCAAATGTACCTAACAGACATCGACAGAACATTCCATCTAACAGATTCAAAATACACACAGTTCTCAAAACCATATGGAACATTCTCCAAGACAGATCACAGATCATAAAACAAGATTTTATACTTTAAAAAAATTAAAATAACACTGAGTATCTTTTCTGACTCCAATGCAAAAAAACTAAAAAATCAACAAGAAAAACTTTGAAACCTACAAGAATACATGGAAATCAAACAACATACTCCTGAACAACTAACAGATCAAGGAAGAAATCAAGAAGGAAATTAAAAATTCTTTTGAAGCAAACACAAATGGAGATACAACATACTAAAATAAAAGCAGTACTGTGAGGGGAGTTTATCCCAATCAACACCTACATCAAAAAAGCAGAGCAAACTAAAATAAACATCCCATCATTGCACCTCAAACAACTATTTAAGAAAAGAACAAATCCAAACTAAGTAAAGAAATAAAAATTAAAGTAGCAACCAATGAAATAGACAAAATAAATATATAAATAAATACAAAAGATCAATGAAACAAAGAGATGGCTTTTCAAAGATATACAACATTGACAAATAAAAGAGAAGACTTAGAATTACTGTGTAACTCAGCAATCCTACCTCTGAGTTTATGTTGACAGGATATTAAGTTAGTGTGTAAAAGAGATATCTATATACATTTTTTTTGTTACCCATGTGAACCAGCAGTTCTTAGCTACAGAACCAAGAGAACTGGAAATACATGTCCACAAAAATACATATATATACATGTTAATTACAGCATTATTCATGATAATCAAGATACGGGTGTTGGTCAGAGAAGGTGGTCACTGGGAGCATGGCATGGAAGGTTGTATCTCCCTCCCTCCTCCCTTCATCATTTTTCGTTCTTGCTGCTATGCCATGAACTGTTTCTCTTCTGCCGTGCTTCACTTCCATGCTGCCCAAACATATCTTGAGTATATCCTTTTGCTTAGTGTGCAGTAACATCATCAATCTATAGAGAGGAATTAAGGAGAAGGAAAATCAGAGCATCCCTAAACCCCTATGGACTATATTAACACTACCTTGATGTGTATTTTCAGTTTATTGAGGTTGATCTTTGAAACCTTAGAGAAGGGCCTCATTATTTAGGGACAACATATCATTTGATGCCAAATCAGGCCCAAGTGATTTTCAGTGCCAGAAATGATGATAAACTGAGAACAAGAGAAGTAGTTATTCCATGATAGTTTAAAATGCAAACAGGTCTAAAACCTTAATGTCCAACATATAAATGTGAAAAGTCAGCTCTTGTAGAAAATATAATGAATGAATGATATAGTGACAGTTCAAACTGGCCAGATAAGCTTTAAAAAAACAATTAAAATAATAATCATATACTATATACCTATTATATTAAGAAAAATATTTTAAAGTTATAACCATTTATATGACAAAACTTTGTCTTTATTTCACACACTATTCATGGAAATGTAAAATGGAATGATCCTTCTGGAAAGTATTTTGGCAATATGTATCAAGGACAACAAAAAGGTGCATACATTCTGATCCTGTAATTCTACTCCTGAGTATTTATTCTGGAGAAATAATCTAATCCAAATGAAGGAAGAAATTGCATCCAACCAAATATCTATTTTAATGCTATTTATAATGCCAACAATAATAGCCTAAACATCTTCTATTTAAGTAAACTATGTACTTCTGCTAAATGGAACATTAGGAAATCATTAAAAGAATGCATACAAAGGCTATGCAATAATTTTGGAAAACCGCTTATGATATAATGCAACCTAAAATTAACATAATACAAAAAGTAAAGACATCATATTTTTGACATGATTACATCTTTTTTAAAAGTATGTAACTATTATCTACGTATTATAAGAAAATTCTTAGACAAGGACTAGAAAACACCATGGAAGAAATGAAAATAGCTGTTAAGCTATTGAGATGTATGTATTTTTCTTTTATTTTGATATCATTAATATTACTTAATAATATTATATACTAAGGAGCACAGTCTTCATAGTCAGAAGCTCAGTTTAAATCTTAAATCTATCATTTACTGGCTATATTATTTAGGCAATTTACTTAACCTTCCTGAGCTTTGGTTTCCCCATTTCAAAAGTGAAGTTAAATATCTGCATTATGAGAAAGGTATAAGGATAGAATATGTAGACATAAATTAAAATATGTATTGCATAGTAAATGTCCAATGGAAGGATTTTACTTCCTGGTAACTGTTTTCTATAAAAGATTTGCCATTTTACAGTGAGACAGAGAGAGAAAGAGAGAGCGAGAGAGAGAGATCATCAAAGAAGTTAAAAGCACTTTATTTTCCTAGGGAACAAAAATAAGGGTAGTTCAAGAAATGTTAATTCACTCCACTTTCCCAGTTTCTATCTATGAAAAGTACAATAGTACTTTAGAATATTCTGGCTACATTATTAAGAAATCAGAGATTGTTGTTCAATAGCAACAAATTAAAAAGAAAAAAAAGACAGGCATCTCTTCCAGCCTTTACACACACACACACACACACACACACACACACACACACCTCAAATCAGACTTCAAGATGTGTCCCTGGAATTCCACGAAAATAACATTTTGCTCTTTTTTGTGGTGAACACATTTGCCTTCCCGATGTAACAAAAGGTATCATTTTGCTTTTAATTATGGGTTGTTATTATGCATTGCTTTTATTTGGCAAAGATGTTTGTTTCAGTAAAATTAATTTAGACAGTTCCATTTTTCAAACAACAATACCTTCTGTCCCAGGCTTACAAAGAACAATTAGATCTGGATTCTTTCCCCACAATCAAGCTGGCAATTTCTCGTGAAAAGTCATGCTCTACAAGTATGGAGTGGAGCTTCCACAAGAACCAGACAAATGCAGAAAATAGACTTTTATGGTCTGGCACTTTTATTTCCTGGAGCATATATAACTCTGACATTGCACAGAGGCATTGCTCTGGCTAGGCAGGAACACAGATTAATGTTACCTCACTTTCAGTGCCAGAGTTTTACTCTGAATGTCATGATATTTTTCACAGGAATCCCACAGTTTGATGCAATTCAGCAAACATGATTGAGGGCCTGCTGTGTGCCAAATACCAGGGTAGGAACCAGAGATACTGATCAGAATCCCTCAGTGTCCTCTCCTGAGTTAGATGAGTCATACAGATAATGGCGACACACATCTATAACATCTGTGCCCAAGGGTCATACCAGGTGCTGAAGGAGCCTTGAGGATGCACTGTGCCCAACCAGGGAGAGCAGAGGTGGCTGTCAGGGAGTCAGAATATGTGAGATATCGTATGAGAAGGAAGGGGAAGAAAAGGCTTTCTAAGCACAGGATCTTGGAATTCAAAATAGAAATACTACCAGTTTATGTACAAATTGCCTGGAGGCATGAGTCAGGTGCTAGACTAACTACTTTACTAGAAAGTGGGTTATTAAACCCTTTTCAAAATATTCCACTGACTTGCTCAGTCACTTAGCCAGTGTGTGGTAGAGACAAGCTCAGAGAGGGTAAATTATTGGCCTATATAGCAAGTAAGTGGCAAAACTGGAGCTACAACACATAGTTTCTGGTTTCCGAGTGGTTTTCATCCATCATTTTGCTCAGTCTTTACCACAGTTGTGTGTAGTTGCCATGAACTGCTTTGTACACTTGCTGAATCTGAAGGAGAATGGAAACAAAAAAAGACTATTGACTACTTATTTGAGTATGGTAGAATCTTTTTTGGGGAGTCAGAACCTCTGAACTCTTCTACCTTAGTAGTAACCTTGATACTCTGAAAAAGTCTAAGGATATTATAAATTTTATGTTTTTCTTTAAAAGCACATGAGTTTTATGTTCTACCCTATACTATGAGAAGTGAAATAGTTTGTCTGGTGTCTGTGAGCTAGGGTTTGCACTCATTGCCTGCTCTTTGCTTCTACCCATGTCCAGACCTGTGGCTTCTTATCTGGTCCCAGTGTTCACACTGCCCCTGCATTTCACCTGTCCCTGTGCTCCTTGATCCTAACCAACTGCATTATGGGAGGCAGGTCTACTGGCTCCAAACAGCCCTACTGCTATGTCACTGCATGAACTGGCTCAAATCCTTTCATTCGATGCCTCAATATACCTTTTCTGTTATAAGGAAAGGAGCTGTGAGTTATAACTTCATACATAAGGATCTAATTTCTTCTGTCTTCTTTTCTTTTCCTCCATACCTTCAATTGTGTTTTGTTATTATTGTTGTTGTATTTCTTTTATTGTAAGTTTCTGCAAATTATTTTTATTAATATCTTATACATTAAACAATCAAATCTGTAAAGAAACAAATAGAATACAGTGTTTGAAGGAGGTACCCTGGTAGTCTTAAGAACTGAATGTCAAGCATAAACAAACTCATTAGCTCTCAGTGCTAGAGGGCAAATAAGACATCATAGCCCATCTACATTGCTTTGCTTCTTTTCTTTCTTAAAAGTTGGCCTCTGTGAAAAGTAAAATAGTTCTAATCTTTCAGAGGCCATTCCAGTTACCCCTCTTTAAAGGAAGCCCTCTTGTTCACTTGTCATTAAAACCACTTTAATAAAAACCTAAAAACATTGGAACACAAATTACCAACTAAATTTCTCTCTCCACCCCACTATATTGTTTTTTTAATAATTTTATTTTTCTGGGGGTATGTGCTTTTCTACAGAACACACTAACCCACATGATTGGCCCTATTTTATTTCCTGAAACTTGGTTCAGAAAATAACAGGTACTTTTTTTTTGTTTTCTAAATATAAGGTTATATTATAACGTAAAAACCAGTTTTTCAAATAACACATGAAACTCATGGAGATTTTGACACCCTTCTTGAAAGCTAAGCTAAGAAATCTATGTAGTTCTATCAAAACTGCAATGGAGATCATTAAATTATCTAAAAATGGAATAAATTGGATTTTTAAGTGGTCAGTCCTGCAGCCAGTGAGGAAGCTAGACTGGATAAGAGAGTTTATAAGCAGTGAGTTTAGAGAGAGATCAACACAGCATGAAATACTTTCGAGGGAGCAGTCTATACTTGGGGATAGAGCAGGGTGGGGGCCTTGATCCTTAGATGCACAGAGGGAGACTATGACTGAGGGACCAGAGAAACTGAGCAGAGAAGAGGAGTTGCTGGAAAGGGAGGAGCCTGAAGCCCGATGCTAAATGTGTGCCTCTGTCCATGCAGTCCTCATTTCTAGAGGTGTTGATCCCCAGGTCCTCTCTATGATGACTTGTTCCTAGAGTGACAGGAGAATGCATGGGAATGACTGGTGTTCTTATTTAAATCATCTCCAGTCTATGTCATGAAAGACTGACATTTGCCCAAAGAGCTATTTTACATGAAACACAAAAAGCAAAACAGAACACATAGTCAGTGACTATTCTCTCCTACTACAGAACCCCACACATGGAACTAGCCCTGAACTCACAGGACACCACATCTCTTCATTCTGGAGGTAATTGGGATCCAGTCGTGACCAAAATGAAAAGTCAATTTTTAACCTTCGCCTCATGATTACCCATATAGATGAGGAAGGCCAGATTCTCTGTGACCCAGTTCCTGGGTCCCCAAGTGAGAAAAAGAGATTTGAGAAAAAATTATGAATGCAGTGCAAGAGTATTATTTGTGTATAATGACAGAGAGATACAAGGGGCTACAACTAAAGACCTCTTCTGGTGACAAATTCAGCAGGACTCTGTCTAGTTCTCACCTTGAGAACATGTAATCACCAAATCTTTATTGAGTTTGGTCAGGTGCTGAACCAGCCCTGAGAGCAGAGAAGACAGTCCAGGCACTCAAAGAGCTGACACAGCCAGTGGAGAAGAGGGAGGAATGAGCAGGCCATGAACATGCTCTGATAAGGCCAAAGACAAGTTCCAGCCCAGTGCTGGCAGGGTGGGAAAGGTCTTACAGAGGACATGGCCTATGAATTGAGAGCCAAATAACAAGAAGAGTTACCTAGGTGAAATGAGTTAAAATGGGGTTGTTATTCCAGGTGGAGAGAACAGCTTATGTGAAGGCCTACCTAGAAATGAAATCAGCAAATGTGGGAGCTGCAAGTGGTTCACCAGAGCCTGAATGGACAGGGGATAGAAGGCAGGAGCCAGATCATGGAAATTGTGTAAGAGTTGCTACTCAGACTTCATCCTATATTAGGAACCCTGATAAGTTCTAAGAAATCACATTCCACATTCTACAAATCTCACTCCAGCTGCAATATGGAAGATAAAGAGACAAGGCTAGGTCCAGATGGTGGGAATTCCAAAGGCTCAGCCCGAGGAAGCAGAGTTGCAGCCCACACTCAGAAATTCTAGTTCTTGACCAGTGTGTTCCCCATTCCCCCTGTTGCTGCCTGTTTAGACTGATTCTTCCTTATTCTCTCTGCATCTCCTTTCTGTTAGACTCTGGAGGTTGATATGTACTTCCATATGCTAATTTAAATAATATGACAGGATAACAACTCAGAGGTTATAGAATCAGGATTCACACTTTTATCCGTTTGAGTTTGGTACTCTTCAAAATGTTTTCAAAACTTCAGTCAGAGGGGCTTCAGAAATAAAAAAAATCCTACAGATTTGATATTCCCTGAAAGAATCCCCAGATTCAGAAGCCTTTATCTCCATCAGTAGGCTATGGTTGCTGGGCTTTTCAAACTGCTTCTTGTGACAAAACCAAGTGGTATCCTACGGGCATCTTGTTAGTTAATGCCACCTTCCCTGAAAAGAAAAAGATTAGAAACAAAATCACTGTGGTAAGATAAAACATATTATGTCAATAAATATATGTAATGTATACTTTTCTATTTCAAAATAAAGACTCAGCCTTGGACAAAAAAAATAACACAATGTTACACAAGATTAAAATGTATTACATTTGTTTTATAAATACAATCTTATCAAGTATACATAGTGAGAAAGACCATGAAAAAGGTACCAAAATATTACTTATTGTTCCCTTGTAGCAGTAGGATTTTATTTTTATGTTTGCTCTGAATTTCCTGGAAATTTAAGAAATGGCAGAAATAACTATGTATTATTTTCATAGTTCCAAATGTTTTAAAGATATATTCTTTAATTTAGGACCACTATATCTTTTGTTGAAAATAATTGAACTCATAAAAGTTCCAAAATTCCAGGATAAGGCTTTTTGTTGTTGTTGTTGTTGTACCAGAGATCAAACTCAGGCCTTTGTGCTTGCAAGGCAGGCCACTGAGATAAATCCCTGGCCCAGGATAAGTTTTTAATTAGTCCTGCTTTCAGTATTTCCACCCTTGGAACAGTCAATGGTGAACAGAGGTGGAGTGACATTGTTCTGACAAGAAAGCACTTGCTGAATCCATGGGGGAATTATGGACAGCTCCTGGGGCAAGAATATTGGTAGACCATTCCTAAGAATCCACTTTGGCAATCTGTGAGTAGCCCTAACTTGGAACTTACTCCTTTTGGCCTTAGGACTTCCAGTTTCTACAACCTTTATAGGATTATGTTCAGCATTCATCACACAGTAGTTCACACAAAAATGGGTGTCTTCTGAATGTCCACTGGCACCACTTTCACCAGAGAAGGCTGGATGTAAGGCTTCATACACAGCCAGCCGTCCACATGTACACTCCTGATTAACCCAACATGGTATACCCATATTCTTCCAGATGTTCATGGGATACCACACAGGCACACTTGGATTCATTTTCCTGTATTTAGCTATGAAATTTCTTTGCCTGATAAGGGATGTCCTCTCCCCAACCCCCAAAATGGACAAGTATACACACACATACACACACACAAACACACATGTACACAGATGATCATACATGTAAAGGCTCTGTCTTTCTTATTCCATAGCTTTTGGTCAGCTAGCGGTTCAACAGCTAGTGAGTCCTGTCTGCCTACCAAACTTCCCACCTGCCTTGTTTACTTTATTTCCTCCAACTAATATTACATATCCTAACTTCCAGGCAGTTAATCAAAAGGCTCAAGTCTCTCACTTTGTAACTAATTTTTTATAATTTGGTAATTCTTTATATCCAACGTGCCTCTATCTATATATGTGATTGTACATTATTGGCCAAATTCCATATGTCATGTGCTCTGTGTTTATAAATGCTGTATAGTTTCCCAATGGCAATCTCAAATAGTGATACTGTACTTGGTAGATTGAGTACTGAAAATTTTCACTTCATTCCTTTTATTTTTGAAAGAGTTTGAAAGAATTATTTGACTATTCTAATTTCTTATCTAAAAATTATTGCAGAGTCATTCTGTAACATATAATAATTTTGTTTTCATTTGCATATAGAACACACAGATTTGACAATTTCAACTCGTGTTGCAGTTAAACCAGTAACCTACACTTATTGCTTTTGCCACTAGGTGGTGCACACATATGTCAGCGAACTGTGGGATAAATGAGCTTGTCTCCCAGGTTAGATTTAATTTAGCAGCACCGGGGCGGTACAGACAGTAAGGAAGGTTAGGATGGTGATCCTGAGGGGAGAAGCAAAGAAAAGAAGCTCTCTCATAGAAGACAAATAGACTGTCCCTGGTTGACAAAATGGCAGGAGCAAAAATGTAAAGGCAAGAAAGGCCCAAAAATGTGGTAGAGAAAAAGTCTTAGAGAGGGAAGAACATGCTTACCTTCTGTGATAATTAATTCCTGCTTACCAGGGTCATTGCAAGGGGAGTAGCAGAATAGTTCAAACATTTGAATAGACGACATCAAACATTCCTTCCAAGCTTTTCTTCTGGGGACTGGAGGCATAGAGATGAAATGACATAGTCCTCAAGTAAGGACTAATGGGAAAGGCAGACAGGAAAATATACAGTTAAAACAGCATGATGCAAAAGATAAGTTTTACAAGATGTACTGGAAAAATAAATTGTGAAATATTCTTTCTACTCTAGGAAGGAAGAAAAAGGAGTTAGATTTGGGAATTTGTATACAGAGAATAAGACTTTGTAGAAGTCTTGAAAGGTCTTGAGTAATGATCTCCAGTAATATGGCAGGCAAAGAACAACATATGCAAAGGCTCAATTAAGCTCAGCATATATCTACTAAGCACTATTATATGCCTTCGCCTGATGTAACTAAAATGAATTATAAATGGTCCAGGCCCTTAAGATGCTCCTCATCATGTGAGAACTTGCACATGCATGAATACAGAGAATCTCAGTGTGATTATGTAGCCTAAAATGTGGGTGTTTTTCATTTTAATTCATCCAGCCTGCAGTGCCCTGATTCCAGGAATTCTCAGAGAACTCTTTACACAAGAAGAGGGAATCCACAAGCACAATACCTGGTTGCATTTGACTGTTAGAGTCACTGACAGTATTTAGCCTCATTTACACATTTTAGATTTGTGAAGATTGAGGCCAGAGATAGTAAGTTAGACAAAGCCACACAGAAGAGCCAGGACACATGTCCAGGTGAGGTGTGTGTGCTGTCAGGTTTACTTCCCATTTTTCTTTACTAGAACCTGGGCACAAAGTTGCTGTTTAGCAACAGTTCTTAATTAGGGATTAGATGTGTTTTAAACAAATAGACTTCCCCCACCAACTATGATCATCACAAAATTAACCTTATGGGAGGAAATACAAGGACACAATGGATTCTCCTCTCATGTATGAGGAAAGTAACATGCCTCACAGGTTGGTTTTGGCAAAGGCAGCTTGAGCCCATTTTCCCACTGATCTGGTTTTCTCTTTTGGAAAGGAGGTCATCTGGCTCAGAATCCCTTCTAGCCAGCACATGTGAATGTGTATTTTATTTCAATATGAGAATTAGTGCTCATTATGTAGATCAGTAACATCTTGCAGTTGCATTGTTTACCTGAAAATGTTGAAAGAATGAGTTAAGGACAGTCAGGAAAAGAGGGATGTGTGATTGAGCAGGTTCTGAAAGGATACAAGAGAAGGCCTGAGAAGGCCCAAGAGAAGTCATAGAAGTAATGGGCATAGTAGAGAGGTATTAAAGAGATTTTGGCTAGGACAGATCACAGTTAAATAAAGAATGAGAATGGCTCAAATACAGAGATTTGAGACCAGGTCCTATAAGAAAAGGAGAAAGGAACTTGGAATATTTAGCCTGGAGAGATAAATGTATTGATTTTCTTTAGACCTACAAACTATTGTCAGGGGCCCATAAGCTAAATTCGGTGATGTCATCAGGAAACAGCACTTCACCCTACTCAAAGTAGAGCTATCTAACCAATAAGACACTGTAATTTCCTATCAGGTAAAGGGGCAAAACAGAAACAGTTCATAAAACCGGTGGGGACGTTGCAGAGTGGATTCATGCGGCAGTGACTGGTCAATGTCAATGACTTCTGAGCTCTAAGTATCCATAATTCTATGAGAGTGGAAGAGATACCTTGCATGGACAGGATCAAGTATTCTACAATAATAATAATAATAACATCAATACTAAATAAATATTTTTACTGGGAATCTATTAAATACAAGGCATCATGGTAAATGATTTATGTTCATTGTAATATTTTGGACTTTAGAATCAGGATTAAAGTTGATTGAGTTCTAATTCTGACCCTTCCATTTAATGAAAATGTGGTCTTGGGTAAATAATTCCTTCTCTCTGAATGTCATGTTATTCCTCTTTACAATACTCACCCTGTAGGATTACCAAGAATACAAAAAGAAATGATACATTAAAGTATCTAGTACTGTGCCTAGCTCCTAGTAGGTACACAAAATATATTGCTGCATTCCCCTTTCTGCTTAACCCAAAGTTTAGGAAACCATTCTTGGAGACAGGCAAGATAAAGAAGAAAATGCAGGTGATTTAAAATGTGGCAAGACATCCACTGGATGAAACGTCAGCCAATCAAAAGCACGAGCAATTTAAAGCCTCTACACTGGTTTCCAAAGTAGAGTTTGGACACTTTTAAGAAAATAAAATACATGTCAGTACTATTTATGGAAAATCACACTTAGAAAAGAGCAAGAGGCCAATAGAAGACTGGGGCTTGTAGTCTTTAAGGGAGCTGTTCACTGCTACCCAATAGGACCCTCTTATACCCACTTCTCTGAACTTAGGTTCCATGATATTCAGTGAAGCACAGAACTTTCCAATAGGTATGCTGTGAAAGGAGACAGACCTTCTGAGATACTGATCATCTCATTCCTTGAGATTACCAAGACCAGTTTTCTAAAAACACAAGCAGCCTTATCTATGTAGCGTAGTGTGCTTGAAAAATATTTTGTATGAATGTTGTGTGGTACAAAAAGATAAGTATTCAGGGAAGGAACAATTGTATCATCAGTAATTGAAATTGTCATAGCATTATTGAGCAGGCTAAAGAAATAAATCAGCTCAGATGTATCTCGGTTAGAAGGGAACTGCTGAAGGGTGACACAGGTACTGGACAAATGCGGGTTGCCAGTATATCAGACACTCAACCAATGCAATCTATTGCATCCAAGAAATCCAAGGTCGTCTGGTACAGAGGGATAGGAATAAGCCTGCAGTTAAAGGACTGAAAAGAAGCTTTCTATGTGGCCCTAGGTAAGCCACATTCCTCTCAGCGCTTCATTTTTCATATGTGTAGTGTAGGTTTAGCTGGAAGCTCTCTAAAGCCCTCTTAGCTGTGACTATCTGTACTTCCAAGGACAAGGAAAAAGGCTATCTATACTCTTTTTTTTTCTTCTAGGATACAAGGCCTCTCTGCAGAATCGTGAATGAGCACCATATTCTATAAAATTTACCCTGCTCTGATTTTGCATGTTTGCCCTGACCTACTAAGCCACAAGTTTGGCTCTGGCTGAAATCAGTGCTCTTACAATGTATTTTCTTTTGCAGCAACAACGGCAGCTTGACCTCCTGACAATAACCAGCCCTGGTGAGTAGGATGTTCTGCTTTTGCCTTTCTGTTTTCTGAGTGATGCCTTCTTGCCTGTACAAATGCAATCCCTGCTCTCCTTCTTTGCCTTCCTGAATGAACAGCAGAATTTTTGCACCATGAATAACCCTTCTCCCTGGCCTCTGCCCCTCTTAACTCTACTGATGTTCTCATATTAACTCTCTTAACTCTGCCCCTCTTAACTCTACTGATGCTCATATTCTGGATATTGCTCTAACTTCTTCCCAAATCACTCACTGGACTCAAATGTTAAGGAAATGTCCAGATCTCCTGTGGAACAAGTTTTAAAATCACATACCAAGAGGAAGCTGCATGGAAACCACCATGAAATGAAGGGAGGATGGTTCATGCAGTAGGGCCAGACTGAGAAAATGCCTACTGTGGTTGGCTATACTGAGGGTCAAGATGACTTTCATCTCTCACCTGTAGGGGAAGATCAGGTCCCTCAACAAAGCTCTGGCCATGGGATTACACCCTGAACATGTATAGTTTTATCAGAGAAGTATTTTTTTGTAGTTTCAGAACCTGAGACAAAATTGGACAATAGATAGTAATTCTCTCTAGGACCAAGGAGATGATGATGTCAGCAGGGTTAGCATTTGCAAGTGTGTGTGGTGGTTCATCTTCATCCATGAATGATAGTCAAAATATTTAACAGTCCTGGTGACTACCTGCTGTGCTAGAATTAACACTTTGGTTACTGGACCTTGTGGAGATGATCCCCTGATGGAGGAGCCAGTGTGGCAGTGTGATCATATGGTAAGTAGGGTTCAAGTAGAGAAAATGGGCTTGAAGAATGGCTAATTACAAATAAATATTGAAATGTTTCAATATCTTAGTAGTCAGTTTGGCTGAACTATGTCAGCCCTGTCTTCCATAAAGGCTTCCATGCTATTATCCAGGGACTTCTAGTTAGCTCACTTTTAAAGAGGTTAAGAAATTGCTCTCTTCAGAAACTATCCTAGAATAAAGGTTAGTTCTCTGGGTTATGTAACTGAGGTACAGGACAGAGACTGCAAAAGGTGGACCCATTCAGTTCAGTTAGTCTTACTATATTTCAACCTGAAAGTTCTTTAAACTTGAGACTAGAAAATAAATGTTGAAATTGTTTGAAAAATGTTTATTCTATCCCATACAATGAGCTCTGTTTGACGTATATATGATTAACATTTATGGAAATTGCAGATCGTGGGCTGACATACTGGAGTGGCTCACTCCTGTGACCTACCATTTCTTTCTACCTTTTCAATCTCATGCTCGAGGAGCTATGCATTTGTGACTTAAGAAATTCTTCTCAACTTGGATATAATACTCTCCCATATAGTACATTTTAAATTTGTCAAGTTTTGTGTCATATGTAGGTCTCTATGTTGTAGCATTTAGGATCAATATTCATGTCTGATATGAGCTAGAGATTTAATTATTTTAATTACTTATAGATAATCAATTGTCTTAGCACTGTCCAACAATTATTCCATCCTTTTTCCTACCCATCAGCAATTACATTTCTGTGACATCAGTTTTGCTAAATACATACTATGTTTCTGAGCTCTCTATATTTTCCATTGACCTATTATCGTCAACTCCACACTATTTATTTATAATAAATCCAAATTTTAATAATATTTATAATTGAGATGAAGATGCTGTAGCTATCCTCCTTTCTTTTTTATATTTATCTTTTGAAAGTGGGAATTATATATTTTACAGTTATATTTCTTAGATGCAATGTGATAATCTCTAAATTATGACAAGTGAATTTAACCTATTATAATTATAGTAACGGATATTTTCAGGTGGATTTCTACCACCACATTTATACTTTCTGTTTATTACTCATTTTCTTTTTTTCTTTTCCCTGCCTTATTTTTTAGTGCTGCATATTACCTGCTTTTTCTTCACCCTCTGTAGATTTGG